CTCCTACAATTGCTTTCTCTAAAGTCCCCATATGTGTGTGTGTGTGAAAGTCCTGTTTGTCTCTGTGTTGCCCTGCGATGGACTGGCAACCTGTCCAGGGTGTACCCTGCCTCTTGCCCATTGACTGCTGGAGATAGGCACCAGCACCCCTCGCGACCCCACTCGGGATGAAGTGTGTCAGATGATGGATGGATGGTTTGCTAAAAAGCTTTCTGATTTATTGCTGAGATAAAAGTTATCAATATAAAGTCTTTCTATAAAGAATAAATTTTTTTGTCAAGGCTTTTATTTAATTTTACTTTTGCTTTACAAGTTTTACCTATTGCTTGTTCTTGTTCTTGCTTCTAATGATTTGTGTCCTCTACATTCTGAACCTTTTGGTTTTATTTTTTGTTCTTATGTGATAAGAATGAGATTATCTAACTCTTGTCACTGTCTTTCCCGCCTCCCAGAGCAAAGATACTGATCTGAATATTCCAACAGAGCTGTGAAGAAAGAGTTAAATAATGAGGGGTCATCAGCGTTTAGCCCGTAAATTCTATCAATACAAACACTCTGCTTATCTATAGATATCTTTATTACTGTAAATCTACCCACTAGGTATTTAAATGTGCCAAATACTGTGAAATGCATATTTTTGTGATTTTAGATAGTTACTCCTCTTTGCGCAGTGTCATAGCAGGCAGAGAGCACACAATGGGTTTCAGGTGATTTTAGATTATTTAAATTTGCAGCTGATTTTTTGAATCTCTTGAAATAAGACATCTGTAATCTTAAAATATGGTTGAAGTTTTTTTTAACATTATCTCTCTGGAGTCAGCTCAATGCACATTCCAGGTGATAAAGCTTAGTTTACCCATATTGAAGCATGAGTGGATAATGTTAGGCAGGGTGTATCACATAGAAGCTTATATGACCCAGTGGAGTGATGTTTAAAGCCTGTGATTGTCTGGATACTGGTTTAAAGGAAGAGTTATAGAAAGTAGAAATACAGACAACAGTAAAAAGAGAGAGTAGAAGTGTTTAGGTGTGACAGTGAAGGTAGGAGACAGAGGGAGGAGTCCAATAGTATGGGAGACAGAAAGTAGATAAGATGCGAAAGAATTCTGATCAGACCATATAGACTGTGCAGCATCATAAGCTGTGCTTTACATTAATTACAGTTACCGGTAAACAAGTTATTTTACTTTAAATAAAGCATGATCCCTGTAAAGCTTTCTGTTTAATTAATGTTTAACAACAGCTACCATGGCACTGATATCTTCAGATGTGTAATTTTTTCTGATCGGGAACAGCCCTAATCTTCAATAGAGAATTTCTTTAGGAAACTGATCATCAACTCTGAAGTGCGTTCCCTGAAACTCTTTCCATTTACTTTTTACATATTCTTTTTGTTTATAATGCTTAATTGAGTAACTATACATTAGTTTTGTAGTGTCAGTA